GGGTGGGGGTCGGAGGGCGAGGGGGCGTTGTGCAAGCTGTGTTCAGGGGGAAAGGTTTCCTTGATGATCTGGGTGCAAGTTCCCCCTGATGGCACTTGGCCCAGAGACACTGCCAGGATGCACACAGGCCACACACTCCTGGGAGGCCTCTGTGGGGCAGGTGGGGCAGGGTGGGCAGCAAACACATACCAAGCCTGGTAGGGTTGGGCCCCGATACCAGGTGAACCCATACATTCCTCACTTGGGCTCCCCTACAACTGGGTGCCCCCGCACCAGGGTACCACTGCACCCGGGTACCTCCCACCTGGAGTCCTCCCATCCGGGTATCTCTGGTATCTCCATCATTGCGGTTCCCAGGACCTCCCAGGCCTCCTGGGGTAGGCGGGGCCTAGAGTGGAGGCTCTAGTTCTCCCAGGCCCAGCGAAGAGGAAGTGCCTCTGTGGCTTCCACTTCTGAAACGTTTTCGCTTTGTCACTGTGCTGTTAGAGGCAAGACTCCAGCTCCGGCTGAGGATGTGCGACGGTGTCCTGGCCGTGTTCCTCCGGAGGCTCGTGGCTGGAGTGGCCTTCCTCCTTTGTGGCAGACGAGCTACGAGGGCCTGCACTCAACCGCTTCCGGAACGCCTGCCACGGGGCCCTGGGACCTCAGAGCTGCAGCAGATGGTCATCTTCTCGGTGCAGGAGGTGACGTTGATGTCGTGGTGCCTGGAGAGTGACGCGGCCAGCGGCAGGCAGGTGCAGGGGCCCCCAGCACAGGGTAGCCGAGCCGTGAACACTGGCCCAGCTGCCTAACTGATGGCAGGGCAGACCCCACAGTGTGGCCAGGGCCACCGCCAAGCCCCAGGCCCAGCCCTGCTGCTGAGATCTCTGGAGGCCTCCTTGTCCCCACCTGAACGGTCGGAATGATGGTGGTACCGCCTCCTCCGGGCGAGGGAGGGTGTGCGCAGTGCAAGGCAGGCGGGAGGAGCTGCCTTGCCAGAGCCCTGGTGCGACCTGACCCTCTGTTGCGCGGGCCGGAGGATCCCGTCCGGGTGGAGGCCCGAGGTGGAAGCACCCAGCCTATGGAAGGTGAGGACTCTGAAGGAGTCGGGAACAAACCCTGGGGGCTTGGCTGGAGCTTGGCCCCTTCCTGGCGTGCAGAGGAGAGGTTGGAAGGTGAACTGGGGTGACTGTGTTAAGAAGACCACTCGGGGTGCTGGAGAGGCAGTGAGGTGACCATCTATGTCGGCTCGGGAGATGCTCCAGAGGGCCTTAGGAGAGAAAATGGCATGATTTGGTGAGGGATTAAGGTGGACAGAGATGCAGGCAGGGTCCCTAGCAAGCGGTGAGGACCTCAGGTGAGATGGGGTATGTGGGAAGAGAGCTGCACTTACCTTCTTCCTGGCAGGGAAAAGTGGCAGCAGTAGGTGCCACGAGGAAATCTCAAGCCTGGCAGGGGAGACAGGGGCTGTGGGGCAGCGATGGGGTGCTCGGGGTGCTCGGGAGGGAGTAGGCAGGAAGTCTTCAGATGCAAGGCCCTGGGGCAGGAGCAAATGGCTGCCCATGGGAATGGTGGAATGGTGGAATGGTGAGACCAGGAGGAGGGGCTGCTAAGGGTCATGGGCATGGGTCCAGGGAGGAAGAGAGGTGATGACAGAATGATCCCGAGGGAGAGAGAGAGCCAAGGAAATCCCAGGAGGCATCCTTGCTGGCAGTAGGTAGGACCCACCAGGACGTGGGGAGGAGCCCAGGTGGGAGCAGGCCCTGACTGAGGCAGAGGGCTCACGTGGGCTCACACGCAGGCCTGCCTGTGGCAGCTGGTTTTCTTTTATTTTTGGAGGTGGCAGTGGCATCAGAGTTTGTAATTGTAACTAGGACTGCCAGCTTTAGCAGATAGAGGTACAAGTATTCTATGGGGCAGCCTCATACTAAAACATTATTTGTTTATCTGGATTTAAAAGTTAACTGGGTGTACTGTATTTTACCTGGCAATCCTGATTGTAACAGGAATACTCTTCCCTATTAACAGTCCAGCCAACACCAAAATAAAGAAAAACTGAGAACTATCTATGATCACACTAAATGGATAACTTTGAAAACAATGAGATGTCTATCTCACTCAGGTTTTATATACAAGCCTGTAGATTAAAAAAAAAAAGGTTTTACTGTATGTATTCTTTTTTAATTAGCTGTTTTCGCTTAATAAAATACCTAGGTGTCCCCACCACCGATTATGGCTGCACAGTGCCGTTCTGAATGGCCGCTTGATATCACACAGCAGGGTGGACGCACAGCCCTGTGGAAGGGTCCCAGCTGTGTCCAGCGCCCTGTCATAAACAATTCTCAGAGAAGCATGACTGCTCTTATGCCTTTGCAGACCCGTCTGTTATTTCCTCACAAAAAATTCCTAGAGGTGGAATTTTCTTAATTGAAAATTTTATGGAAGTAATCATAGGTTCACAGGCAATTCTAAGAAATAATACAGAAGGATCCCTTGTACATGTTAGCTCATTTTTCCCAATGGCAACTAACATTTTATAAAATGACAGCAGAAGATTGCAACCAGGATATTGACGCCAATACAATCCACTGATCTGGTTCCAATTTCCCCGGGGTTTTACTTTTGTTCATGTTTTATCACCAATGCAGTTTATCACCCTTGTTGGTTTTTGCATCCAGTCAAGATACTGGAGAGTTCCAACAAGCATTGCTCCAGGGGGTCCTTTTGTAACCACATTTACTTCCCTCCTGCCCCTGCCCTGTCATGAATCCCTGGCAACCACTAATCTGTTCACCATTCCTCAAATTTTGTCATTTTAGTGTTCCACAAATGGAATCATGTAGTAAGTAACCTTTGGGATCGGCTATTTTTGCTCAGCGTAACTCCCTGGAGATCCAACCAAGTAGTTGCCTGTATCAGTAATTTGCTTCTTTGTATTGGTCAGTAGTGTTCCATGGTGTGGATGGACCACACTTTGTTTAACCACTCCCCTAATAAAGAACGTCTGGGTTGATTCCAGTTTTAGTGCATTACTAATAAAGATGCTATGAACACTTGTGTACGGCTTTTGGTGTAAAGAGAAGTCTTTATTTCTCTGGGATAAATGCCCAGGAGTGCAATGACTGGGTCATAAGGTAGTTGCATAAGGTAGTTGGAGAAATTGCCAAACTGTTTCCAGAGAGGTGGCACCATTTTACATCCCCACTAGCAGTGTATGAGGGATCCAGTTTCTCCACACCCTCACCAGCATTTGTTGGTCACACTTTTTATTTTCATTGTTGTAATAGGTGTGATACCTCATGGTGTTTTAGTTTGCCTTTCCCTAGTGGCTAATGATGTCGAACATCTTTGCATATGCTTATTTGACGTCTGCATGTGCTCTTTATTAAAATGTCTCTTCATATCTTTTGCCAATTTTTTAAGTGGATTACTGATTTTCTTACTGTTGAGTTTTGAGAGTGTTTGTACATTCTATACGCCAGCCCTCTGTCAGCTAGGTGGTTTGCAAATATTTCCTCCCAGTCTGCAGCTTGTCTTGTCATTCTCTTAACAGGGTGGTTTGCAAAGCAAAAGTTATTAATTTTGATGAGGCCTAGTTTATCAGTATTTTATGTCTCTTGCTTTTGGTGTCGAGTTAGGAACTTTTTGCCTAGCTCTAGATCCCGAAGATTTTCTCCTACGTTTTTTTCTAAAAGCTTTATAGTTTTAAGTTCGTGATCCATTTCAAGTTAGATTTTGTATAAGACGTGAAACCCTTAGGTTGAGGTTCTCCTCTTCCTCCTCCCTGTCTTCTCCTCCTCTTCCCCTCCCCGTTGTCTCCCTGTCCTCCTCCTCCTTCTTGCCTGTGGGTGTCTAATTGCTCCAGCACGATTTGTTGAAAAGGCTGCCTTTCCTCCATTGAAATGCTTTTGCACATTTATCAAAAATCAGTTGGACGTATTTGTGTGGGTCTAGTTTGAGTTTTGTATTTTGTTCCATTGACCTGTGTGTGTATCCCTCTGCCAACACCACAGTCTTCTTTTTTTTTTAAAGATTTTATTTTTCCTTTTTCTCCCCCAAGTCCCCGGGTACATAGTTGTGTATTTTTAGTTGTGGGTCATTCTAGTTGTGGCATGTGGGATGCCACCTCAGCATGGCCTGATGAGTGGTGCCATGTCCGCGCCCAGGATTTGAACCAGAGAAATCCTGGGCCACCGAAGCAGAGCACGTGCGAACTTAACTACTCGGCCGTGGGGCGGACCCCCAATACCACAGTCTTGATTACCATAGCTATAATAAGTCTTGAAATTGGGTAGACTGATTCCTCCCTCTTTATTCTCCTTTTCAAAATCATTTTAGCTATTGTAGGTCCTTTGCCATTCCATATACATTTGAGAATAATCTTGTGTGTATGTACAAAAGAACTTGCTAGGATTTTGATAGGAATTGTGTTAAACTTGTTTATCAAGTTGGAGAGAACTGGCATTTTTACTATTTTGAATTTTCTAACATGAAAATGGTACCTCTCTCCATTTGTTTAGATCTTTGATTTCTTTCATCAGCATTTTATTATTTTCAGCATAGTCTGTACATATTTTGTTAGATTTACACCTATTTCATTTTATTTTGAATTATTGTAAATGGTGTTGTATTTTTAATTTCAGTGTCCTGTGTTCATTGCTAGTATGTAGAAATACAACTGATTTTTAAAAAATGTTTGTGTCGTATCCTGAGACCTTGCTGAGCTCACTTATTAGTCTTAGGAATTTTGTTGGTAGATTCCTTGGGATATTCTGTGTAGATAATCATTTAATCTGCAAATAGAGATGGCTTTATTTCTTCCTTTTGGAAATAACTGCATTTTCCCTCTTTTCTTGTCTTACTACACTGGCTAATAGTTCCAGCACTATGGTGATTAAGAGTGATGAGAGTAACACACTTACCTTGTTCCTCATCTTTGGGGGAAAGCATTCAGTCTTTTACCATTAAGTATAATGTTATCTCTATGTTATTTGTGGATGATCTTCATCAAGTTGATGTCATTACCCTCTATTGCTACTTTACTGAGAGTTTTTATTATGAATTGCTGTTGAATTTTGTCAAATGCCTTTTCTGTAACAATTGATGTCATGAAGTTTTTTTTTTTTTTGAAGATTTTATTTTTCCTTCTTCTCCCAAAGCCCCCTGGTACGTAGTTGTATTTTTTTAGTTGTGGGTCCTTTTAGTTGTGGCATGTGGGATGCCACCTCAGCGTGGCTTGATGAGCGGTGCCATGTCCACACCCAGGATTTGAACTGGCAAAACCCTAGGCCACCGAAGCAGAGCTTGCGAACTTAACCACTCAGCGACAGGGCTGGTCCCTGATGTCATGAAGGTTTTATACTTCAAACTGTTAATATGATGGATCACATTGATTACTTAATTTTTTTTTTTAGCCCTGAGCTAATATCTGCTGCCAATCCTCCTCTTTTTGCTGAGGAAGACTGGCCCTGAGCTAACATCCGTGCCCATCTTCCTCTGCTTTGCCAAGCGGTGCCGTGTCTGCATCCGGGATCCGAACTGGCAAACCCTGGGCTGCCTAAGTGGAATGTGCGAACTTAACCGCTGCGCCACCGGGCGGGCCCCACATTAATTTAATTTTGAATGTTGAACCAGCCTTGCGGTCTTGCAATAAACCCTACTTGGTCATTGTGTATAATTCTTTTTGCATATTTCTGAATTCTATTTATTAATCCTTTGTTACAGATTTTTGTGTCTATATTCATGAGAGATATTGGTCTGTAGTTTTCTATTTTGATTCTGTCTTTATTTGGTTTTGGTATCAGGATAACACTAGTTTCATAAAATGAGCTGGGCAGTGTTCTCTTCTGTTTTCTGAAAAAGATTGTGTAGAACTGGTGTTAATTCTTGTTTAAACATTTGGAAAAATCTCTGCTAAAACCATCTGGGCCTGGAGATTTCTTTTTTTTAAGTTTTAAAATTATGAATTCAACTTATTTAATAGCTATATGGCTCTTTAAATTGTCTATTTTATTTGGGGGTAGCTGTGGTAATTTGTGTTTTTCAAGAGATTGGTCCATTTCATCTAAATTGTCAAATTTGTGTGTCC